TCAGCTTTGAGAATACAAATAAAAATGTATTCAATAATAAATAATGCAATAATAGATAGAAGAGTCAGTTTTCTGATGTTTCGTGACTTAATGTAAGTTACTTCTTCAGAGACAATAAATAACCGACATTAAATTAAGTTTAACCTTGACATTGATACCGATAAAGAAAAATTTTATTTTTATTGGTTGAATACATGTTGCATTTTTCGGTTGTTTTTTTTGTTATTTTGGTAGTCATATAGCAACTATCATACAACCAATTTTGATTATGGTTAATTTTGGTTAAGCCCTTTTATTAACTTACTCAACAGACACTGTTATTTGAACAGTAACAATTCGCATATTTCTTTATACCGTTATGATCACTAGAGTACATGGCACATTCTAGCTAAAACTTTGATCACTTAAATATTACTCGATGATTCATTCTTCTCCTAATATTTATATGTACTCAAATCTTATTATTAGTCCTTGCTTTGCCTTGCTGCACCCTTATGCAATTTGACTATAAATTTGCCTATGTAATCGCTCGCATATACTTATACTTATTCACATCTCCGATTCACATTTGCTCGATGTGCATATAGCTTTGGGATCTGCATTATCCGCTAGTAAACTGTACTTGTCACTTCATATTGCCTTCTGATTTTAAACACCGATGAGATTTATATTATAACGGTTATCAAAGTGATCGATTAACGAAACAAGGCCACTACAGTCACTTAGTATCCACATAACGTGACATTAAAACTCTACCTAGACAAGAAATATTAAACCTAATGGTGATCATTTTTGGTTTAGTAATTTTCAATAATAATACCTTAAGAATATTCAAGAAATGAATGAATGTAATTTGTATACTAAATTATTATTGGATATTACTAAATCATGATTTAGTTAATCTGATTTCACAACAAAAATAATTTACTTAAACAAAGATGGATAGTGGCTAGCGGTTGAATGCAGGACGCAGGCTTCGTCCTATTTGGGACTCGTCAACTGGATGCACTTGCATCCGAGTTGATGTTCATTCCAGGACTCGAACTCAGCACTGTTCGTTTCAAAAGCAATCGTGTTATTCATTTAGCTACTGAGTTCTAATGGTCACCTACTTGTGCAATATGGTGAAGTTTAAAGTTACTTGGTGTTGTTTTACTTGTACCTTCCAATTGTTATTTAGGACTGCAATTGTTCAGTCTCTTGTTGGCGTTTGAACCGAACGGTACTGGGTTCGAGTCCATGAGTGAACATCAACTCTGGAATGCAGGTACATCCATCTGATGAGTCCCAAATAGAACGAAACGCGCACCCTGGATTCTACTGCTAGCCATTACCAATCTTTGCTTAAAAGGCTTGTGACCGAATATTATATCAAGGCAATCCGCACAGGATGCACATAACAATGAGGAGATACAAGTAAAAATAACACCAAGTGAATTTGATAATTCACTTAGTTTAATGATCATAATTCATTATCACATAAAACTATAGTAGAAGAAACAAACTAATAATTAGTGTAAATAAAGCTTTTTATGTTGTGATCTATTTTGAGATTGGGTTACTCTATGGAACTATCATCCATATGAATTTTGATTAAAAGAGAAAGTTTTTTAGAAGAACCCTAGACACTTCGTCGAAATCATAGTAAAATACGAATAAAATTAACATATCATGTAACTTTTAATTTACTCTCAACTCATCATTTTGATGGTTTATAATTTAAACATAAACAAGAAATTGATATCATCATATAAGACTTAGAGTGTACTTTCAATTAAAACATAATGTAAAACACACATATTTGTTAGTGTACTTAATAAGAACATATAGTGGTGCCTAGTCTGTTGTATACCCTGATGATGTTCTCGTGACTTTCGGGTTGCTTGATTTTCCAAGAGTGATGGAACAGTACATGATGTTATTGTTTTATGCTAGGTTTAAAGAGAATTGTATACTATATGCATGCAAATCTGCCCCTATATTGTTCCTATTGTTCTTACATATTTGTTAATGTAATTTATAAGAACATATTAGTAAATCATTTGAAGAAACATCAATGAGAATTACATAATTTACAGCTTAAACTATTACAATATCGACTATTTGAACATGAATGGTGGTTAATATCTTTGAATAAAGAAAATAGACATTAATATAGTTGAATGCCGGCTCAGTGAACTAGAGGTCAAGTGCTCGCGCGCGAAACCGATAGGCCCTGAGTTCGAACCTTGCGAGGCGGGGTTGTTGATGCGCACTGCTGAGGAGTCCCACAATAGGACGAAGTGGCAGTCCACTGCTTCCAGGTTTTCCATGATGGTCTAGCTTCAATCGACTCATAATATCAACCATTCAAATAAAATTGTCGATTTAATATTGAATTTGTGCTTTGAAATTTAATGTTTATTTTGTTTTAATTTGTCTAAAATCGAATAATAAATGAATCGTATAGAATGGTTATCGTACTTATAAGATTTATTGTTACATTGCATGACTGGACAAAAGGGAGAAAATGAATCCGAATTATCTAGAATATTTTTTTTGTTTATTTTAGTGTTCAGTGTTATTTTATCCATGTCAGTTTATTTCGGTTTTAAAATGGTTCTTCTTTTGAAGTTACTCAAAACTTAAAAAATGAAACAATACTGGACATTCATTGATTTGTTGAATATTATGGTAATATTGAAAATGGTTGAAGAGAACGATTATTTTAATAGTTATATTCATGAGTCGATTAAAGCTAGATCACCACTGAAAACCTGGAAACTCTGGACGGCCGTCTCATTCTAGTATGGGACGACTCAATTGTTTACATCTATGATCCTGCATCGAGGACTCAAACCCAGGACTTTCGGTCTCACTCACGAACGTCCAACGTTTAGACCACTGATTCGAACGATTACTTACTAAATAACAATTATATGTGAAATTCTGATGTATAATAAATTAAATGTATTAAGGTATTATTCTTGACCTGTTTTATGACCTTGAATCTCTTTTACCCCGTCTATACTTTGTTATGGTGTGGCGCATATATATTGGCGCTCTCTTGTACCAATATTTATGTGTTAAAATAAATAAATAAATAAATAAATAAACTTTGTTATGACTTGACCTTGACCTGTCTAGCCTATATTATAACCTTGACGCGATAGGCTGAGCGGCTTAACCTTGAGTCTAGTACGCGTGAGTTCGAGATGGGGTAGAGAGAGAACAATTCTAGAACCTGATTGGTTGGCAAGCACCCAAGCGAGGGAAGACAAGACAGTTGGAACACTGAATTCTGGATTCTCTGAATTCGGAATAGTGTAAAAATGTAGATGAACAGATAAGTGAATATCCTGGCCACAACGTACGATAATTTGGAAAAATACAATTATGCCCGAAACTGGGAATTAGGGTAGAAAATACGGTGCAAAATATTATGTTTAAATTGCAATATTTTCGGAACAAAAAAGGGTATGGCCGTGAATGATACATAGAACGAAATAAATAAGTGTTTTACAAGGTTTGAATGAAATGAAATAACGTCCCAAGAAAATAGCTTTCGTAGTTGTCTAGGCTTCTTCATAACAACTTGGCTGATTGAAATTAATGATTATTAAAAATTATTCAATAATAAGGAAAGTAACAATCAAAAGTTGCTTATATTACTTAGTTGATAAAATATTCTCATATTAATATTTTATTGTTATTAAAATCAGGCCAACCGGTTACATGGAACAATGGCAAAATATGATCAGGAATAATTATAAGCTACTATTACTAATGATCATCCATGGTGCATGTTATCACAAACATTTTCATTGCTTACAACTTTTGGTGTAAAACTTCAAAGTTAATAATCTAAACTAATGTCTTATCAATACTACACATGATCCTTTATATTATGCGGTACTGTTTCAAGGCTACTTCCTTATTCACATGAAATTACTTGTATTTTACAAAACGTTTAGTAAAACCTCTGACCATATTATCTCAAACATTTACATACACACTAAAATTTAATAAGTCTCTACATTATATATATTCTTAGTGGCCGAAGTTTTAATAGTATTTCCAGTCTTAGTGTTCCGATAATGTTAATCTTATCAAACAATGAACTGTCTTAGCAAATTACGCATGTATAGTTTTGCAGCAGATATCTAACTACTGGTCTCCATTTATACTGATTTAGAACCTTTGAGACATTTGTGCAAACTTGAATAAACAAGAAATTCAAGATTTGATTAAGCTGACCTTCTATATCTACCTCTCAATCTGACCAGGAAGGAACACATTTTATTAAAGATTGATATCATCAATGGGTCAATGTTAGACCACCATTGAGAACCTGAAAACACTGGACAGTCATGCCGTTTTAGTATAAGACTTCTCAGAAGTGCGTATCCACAATCCCGCACACTGGATTCGAATTCAGGATTTTCGGTCTCGGTCATCTGGTGTTTTTTTTCAGGTTTTCAGTTGTGCTTTAACATTATTCCAATCATAATATCATTTTGGACTCAACAATCTCCACAACTTCATGTACTTGATAAATACATAATTAGTGACATTTTTGTTTAAAAGTCATAACACTTAGTCATTATTACCTACTAACGAATAAAACTTCAGAATTACTTTTAGAACTAGTTTAACATTTATATGAACAAAAAGTATATCTCCACTAATTTTTATGTTGTATAGTAATGAAATAACATTTATGTTTAGATACATATGTAATTTAACAACAGTATCTGTTATTGCAGTTATAATCAAGTCATATGCAACATGTATGACATTATTTACAATTAATTAAGATATAATAGACATAGACATATATATATTATGTAATACAATAATACAATACTCTTTATATATCGAATCTCAATTTAAGGAATGTATAAATACAAATGAAGAAGAATTGATTCATACATTTAGAATAAGATTAGATCTTTGTATTCAACAATATACAATTGAATCAAATGATCTATTAACTTTATTCATCATTATTAAGTTTCATTTTATATACATTTTAATTTTTGACAAATAAGTAGATGGATATCAGCTCGAAAATTTGGATTCATAAAACCATATATAATTGGATTAATTGCATTATTTATATAATATAAATAAAATATTGGTAAATATAATGGTACATATTGTATAGCCATTAACATAGCTGGTATAAATGTTACAATATAAACAACAGCTACAACAAATAACATTGCTGCTGTTTTTAAATTTTGAAATGCAATATTATCTTTGATTGTTTTCATTGAACGACGTGTTTTCTCTTCATTTATTATTAAATTAGTTTCATAATTTAATGTAATTGGTTGAATCATTACTGATTCTGTATTATTATAACAATTTATAGGAACTAATGTCTTTGATTTTATTGTTTGTGGTTGTTCTTGTTCGTGGTGGTGTTGTTGTTGTTCTTGATGATGGTGTTGGTGTTGTTGTTGTTCTTGACGATCGTGGTGGTGTTGTTGTTGTTCGTGGTGTTGTTGTTGTTCTTGATGATGGTGGTGGTGGTGTTGTTGTTGTTCGTGGTGTTGGTGTTGTTGTTGTTGTCGTTGATGATGATCGTGTTTTTGTGATGGATCATTCATTTCTTCATTATTTTTTATATCAATAGTATTACATGATAAAACATTTAATGGTTTCATTGTTTCCATATAATTTGATTCAGATATTATAGTATTATTTATATGTTGATTAAATCCATCACATTGAGTGAATGAATTAACTTGATTTGTTAATGTTAATTTCATTGGGGATATTTTTATTTTTTTCGATTGATAATTAAATAAATTTTTAAATGTAAATTCATAGTTTTTCTTTTTTTTATTGTTATCATGATTTTTTTTTGTTTTTTTATTTTCTTTTTTTACACCTTTTAATTCTAAACGTTTTTTAAATACCTAATAATTTCGAGAGAAAAAAAAAACATGAAAGAAAGAGAAAACAATGTATCAGATAATGAAAAGTGAACAAGTAATTTAATGGTTGAATTCATGAGTCACGTAAAGCTAGACAATCATGGTAAACCTGGAAGCATTGGATAACTGTTTAGTCCTATTATGAGACTTCCCAGCAGAATGCATCCATGATCCTGCCCGTAGGATTCGAACCTAGTATCTATCGGACTCTCATTTGAATGCTTAAATTCTCGACCACTGAGTCGACATTCAAAGTTGTTAATGTCTAACTTCAACTAATTCACGAAATTGAGCCACATGTCCACCATTGATTTCAGTGAGTTACTATCTCACAACATAGTCAGATGAACTCCAATGGTCACTGATTCTCACTAGAACTTCAAACAATACCTCATGAAGCCAGTCACTATTGACCATATGCTGATTATAATCAGAATGTGATTTCTGTGGACATTTTATCATTTCAATAGTTAAAGTCATGAGTCTTTTAATAGTAGATCACTATGAAAAACCTGGAAACACTGGACAACTGTTCAATGGATCGATGGTTTTTAATAGTGGACTAGCTTTAATCTACTCATGAATTCAACCACTACAATCTCGACAAAACCCCCTTTTTTATAATGATCTATTAAAGCATTAGTTATTATTGTAGGATTATTATCAAGGACAATTAACAGGAATGAATCTCAAAAACAAAAAAAATTAAGCTCTTTCAATAATTTGACCTAATTTCGATCAAGTTTTATATTAACCGCTAAAATGGTCTAATTTTATTGGATGATAATAATAATAATAATAAACAAATAAACTAAAATGTGACTGTTGAATACTTTAGTTCGACAGTTTCTAATAGATCAAATTGAATTATTTATTGATTTCTGCAGAAAAAAAGTGGAAAATTATGTTATCTATTAAAATAACCTGGAATATGCAGAACGATAGATCTATGATATCATCTTACATTATTATTGTTCAGTGGAATCTTGTGTTTCACTATTTCTTATATCTAGTTGTAGATAAATTCAATCATTCCATAATAATATATTCAGTACAATAGTGAATGTGTCGCTCGATTTCGTGGATTGGTTGAAGTTAGATATTAACAGAATTAGATACTGGCTTAGTGGTCTAGTGGTTAAGCGCTCACGTGTGGGACTGATAGGTTCTGGGTTAGAAACTCATGAGGCGGGATCGTGGATACCCACTGCTGAGGAGTCTTACAATAGGACGAAACAGTCATCCACTACTTCCAGGTTTTCCATGTTGGTCTAGCTTCAATTGATTCATAATCTCAACTATTGAAATTAATATAATATACACAAAAATCCTTTCAATACATTATTTATAACTTAACAAAAAGTCTCAGTTCTCATATTCAAAATTATACATTTCAAGCTTCTGCCTGCCATACATCATTATAATCTTTATGATAAATATCCTCTTAATATTATTTATGAATAACAACATCTTTTTAAAATAGTTTACTCTTAATTATCTGTCATTTACACATCTTATTATGTTTCTATATCCATCTAAATATCCACTTGATCTAGCGTATGTTCTATTATTAAGAATAAACATTTATTTATTTTGCTTCTCATGTAGTGATTTTGTTTAGATAACTAAGAAAACAACTAATTAAAATGTCACATGTAAATTTCTAATTACTTTTAATTAAAATGTTAGTAATATGTGGACAATGATGTGCGTTGATAATGTTTGGTAACATGAAAATGATTGATGAATATCTATTAATGAAATATTGTTGGTATGTTAATGTTACTATGTATCAATCAATCAATCACTGTACGTAATTTTTTTATTAAGATCATGAGCTGATTGGTGGAAACCTGGGAGCACTGGACGACCGTTTCGTCCTATTTTAGGACTCCTCAGCAGTGCGCATCCACGATTTTGCTCGCGTAACCTACTGTACCACTGAGCCAGTACACTGTATGTAATTATTTTGTCAAGTATTGTTTTTATGAACTACGTAATTTTAGCATGATTATTGGTTTGTAATTAACTTATAATGTGAATTCACTGATAGTTTCTATAATATTCATTAGAAAAATGATCAACATTTGACTGGTCAGTCGTCCAACTCAAGTAATTTAGTACCAATAGAAATTTTTAAGATGCATTCTTAACGAAACAACAATATAAATGTCATTATAGTTTAAGTGAAATAGTAATTTTACTCGAAGATTGTGCTTCAACTCTTGTCTAGTTATGTGTTCATACCTCGAGTTTCAACACGCTTATTTTATATTTGAAATTATGGTTAAACAGTAAATTAATGAACATAGCGATACATTTTCGCTGAAATACGATTGAAATCTTATTATTTCAATGATGAGCAGATGAACTGGAAATTTATTCTCTATGCCCTAAGAAGAGATCAACTCCCAGATAGCTCAACAATAAGTTACTTTATTCATTCAAGATTTTTATATTCTCGGTGATTCAACTGACGGGTATCACATACAATGAAAAGCGCGTTTTTGGAATACACTGTTAGCGACTATCCATTTCTGCTTAAATATCATCACTGACATCAACAATCTTTTTTTATTTTGTTTCAATTTACAGCTTGGATTTTTCCATGCTTAAACTAACAATATGCAATAGTGCTAAATAACAAATTGATTGTGGATGTTTCTATCTTTTTATATGTGCGTTTTTCACGACTCCTCTATAATATATATAATATCTAAAGCTTAGATTCTTGATATACCGCTTACTACTTGAGCACTCGAACGCTAGAAACATATAAGTTGAAAACGAGAAAACAGAAGACAAGTGAGAAGGAAAGCTTTTCCAAATAGTGTCAAATATAGTACAAAACTGTCCGATGTTTATAGATTCTGGAATATTATTTCAATAGATGACTTGGTGGAATGTCATCAGCTCTTTCTAACCTTCCTAGAGCTTCTTCGAGTTCACTCGTAGGCCATCCTCACAATATTCACTTTGTTTATTGGAACATATACTTACCTATATATCATTTGAAATCAGTAATGTTTATTTTTGAAAAATAATTGTAGACACATATTCATCTTGACACTACACCTCAATTTCAATAGTCTACCATGTAAATGAAATAAACAGATGAAAATCTATGCAAGAATAGATTTTCTATTCAATGTGATAATCTAACATATAATGATTAAAAGTAGAAAGAATATAAACACTGGCAAATTACGGATTGAATCAACCAAGACTTAGACAATAAATCTTATATTTCAACTTGTATAGAAGAATAAAGTTTTCTTGTTTATCTGAATAAAGTGAATGTCTTACTTTTAGTACAAATATGTAACTGTCTTGACTATTATTTCAATGAATTGAAGCATGATACATTTCATAGTTTATTTCTTTTCAAGCGTGATATAAATTGACAAAAATGATTTAAACCAACAAGATATGTTAATATACACTAAGATTTTTAGACATTTTTGATTTGCATAACACATTCACAATTAGTCTGTCGATGATAAAAGAAACAGTCTATAATTTTATTGCTTGTAGAAAACAAATTATGACATCATAAAAATAATAGCTGTTATATTTAGAGCTTAGATTGTTGATATACCGCCTACAACTTCAGTACTTGAACTCTAGAAGCCTACAAGTTGCAAACGAGAAGACAGAAGACAAGTGAGAAGGAATGTTGTTCCAAACAGTGTCAAATATAGTACAAAACTCTCAGGTATTTGTAGATTTTAGTACAAGTAAAATAATCATTATAGTCATCCAATCCGCATACAGTGGTGTTTAGCATTTGTACAGTAGGGGATGTACACGTAGAGACCTTAAATGACATGGCTCAAAATCGTTTGCAATGGCGCAGGTGCATCCACTCTCTATGTTCTCCCAAATTCTAATTATCTGAATTCTTCATGTCCCTTTTTTTTCCTCTTTCCAAATTTATTTCACTGGATTCTACTCGTTAAATAACATCTCCAAACCCTAATCTTCCCGATTACTGTTTATACTCTTGCTACCTCTACCACTACGGAATTTGAATCGACCACTGCATCTCTGTGTTAAGGTGGTATGGCAACTCGAACTGATGTACGTACGTACTAAGTTCTACGTTGTTACTGACTGACTGATTCGAATAGATGGCTTGGTGAAATGTCATCAGCTCTTTCTGAGTTTCTTAGAGTTTCTTCGAATTCACCCGTGGGCGGCCCCCATATAAGTCTTTGCTGTTTTCTTTTTAATTTTACACCTTCAACTTCATTATTTCTATATTAGGGCGTAAATGAATTTCTCGTTTATATACAATCATGGTAAACTATCATTTCATAGTGTTAGTTAACTAACTGGCGATAATTAAAAGTGATAATAATATCGTGAATTTAATACATTCCAGCAAGTCGAAAACCAAAGTTGACGAGTATATACATGTTCTAGATAAAGGCTGCATATACCCGAAAAATTATTTGCATCATGTTAAATACAAAATAAGGTTATACTATTGTAATTCACTAAGCAGTGTTAAACGTTATTTGTGAATTGATGGTTTACCTTTATTATGTAGATAGTATGTAAAGACATAAGAAAGTGACTGTTAGGTTTCAGATTAAGAGTCAAAATACATTACTAATTATCAAACGTTTCATGAATACATTTAAACCAAACATTCATTTGGTTATTACAAAATCTCTTACCAGTTATAATGAGAAAACTTGAATTATATGTGGGATCCTTTTAAAAAGGACTCTAATCTACCACCTCTAGAAAAACGTTTCGAGCATTCAGAATTGTTCAGAGTGGTCAACTAGATAAAACGGAATATTTGAAATTTACCAGACATCGACCTGACGAGGTATTTTTGGTTCGAATAGACAACAATAATTAACGAAGGTAATTTTGAATATATGCGATTTCTATAAATACATCCTTAAGTAATCTATTAATCATTCACTTTTGATAATACGTATTCTTTACCAATAAAAGTAGGTATACTTGATAGCAAATAAACATTTTATCAAACTGATAAATTAACTCGCTTTTTTTTTTCTCATTTATACATTAAGAATAAAACTTAAGCGAATGTAGTTTTTTTCCGGTTAACTTTTTATTGTGTTCAAACAAAATTCTACCGTTTAACATTTGAATGTAGGAATGATCTCTAATTAACTTATGGTGAATTTAAAAGAAACTAAGTCTCAAACCCGAATACCCTCAGCAACAGTTTAATATAGGAGAGAACAAACCAACTTCCAAACGAAGACGAAACTAGGGAAAAACGTTAAAACATAGATAGGATGCACATTGAGGAAATCATCCAACTACAACACGAGGCAAGCGCTAACTTGGAATCCTGAAGAGAAATGAATGAGTGGAAGGTCAGAGAACACACTGCGTCGGGAATTGGATGAGGACATGTAAAGGATGAATGGCTACTGAGAAGAATTGGAAAGGATTGTCCGGAACAGAGTTGAATGGAGAATCCTGGTGAGCATCCTATGCACCACCATGAGGAGTAACAGGTGTAAGTAAGTAAGTAAGTAAGTGTCAAACGGTTAGTGAAAATGATTGAATAAATAATACTGTAATAAATATGCAACAAGAAGTTTGGATTATTAATGTTTCAATCCATTGAAAGACGTGTTTATCAATTAAACTAAAGAAAATGAAAGACTGGGCTTTAAATAAGTTAAGTGGTATTGGTACAAAGAGAAACCCGACAAATATTTTATGAATAGCAAGTATTAGATTTATTTATATCAATTTCCTTTGATTAATTCTGTTTTCATTAGGTAACATCTTAAAGCATAGTTTACTTAATCAAACTAGTTCAACAGGGTTAAAAGAAATGATGAACGTAACGTAAATATAACTATTTTCCGATTTTAAATCAACATGTTTAATTACATGAAATTCAATAGCTATATAAAGATATCAATTAGCATCTAATAGTCTACAGTTATGCAATGAAAGCTTTAAGAACAAAAACATATAAAATCATAAACTATCTCTGGTATTACTCAATAATTTTGTGTATCATGATTATTTTATTTATCATTTATTTGAACACAAGAGGGCACCAAATATATGTGCGCCACACAAAACAATGGGAATTTGAAGAGAAGAAGGAAGAAGAAGGTGAGGAGCGTAAAAAAAGAGAACAATAACGAACAGATTAGTGTAAGGTAGCGTAATAATAATAGTAATAATGGGGGAAACAGAATGGTACAATCAAAAAGAGATCTTTCAGTTAAGGAAGAAGCAACCACGTTTTATGAAGAAAGTAAAAGAAGGTTACAGCAGGATCAACACTGGCTTCTATTCTGAGCCATATCTCATAACGTCTCTAGTCACTGTTTCGCACTATCTCTCGAACCCAAGCCAGAGAGTTGTGAAGGACCAATAGAAACCAGCCCTTTGCAGCTTTCTTTCTTGCCACGACAACATGTCATACACTGACCACCTCTTCGCTTTTTCAAACCAGTCCCAGAGTCGGTAAATAATGTATTCTCTGGGAGGACATTCGTAGAACATGTCCAAGCCACCGAAGTCGGTGTTTCAAGATATTGACACCAATTGGATTATCGTCTCTGTGCCCGAACACACGATGCCGAACCTCTGCATTACTAACATGGTGTTGCCACTGGATGTCAGCCGGTGGCCAAAAATTGGTTCATACGCCATTTGTTCTCGCAGGATACTGGAGCCCATATGCACTATTGGTTTGGAATCCGGTTAAAGCGCCGGACATATCATGATGGTAGTACGTAATTTAACTACATAGAAACACATGTATTTCAGCAGGTTCCAGTTAGTAACAATGACCTTTGAAGATAAACAGTACTTAAAAGAATTCATAAATACTTCTAAATGTAATCCAGATAATTAAAATTCCTTTCTTTTTGAGTATGACTCTATTTTTTTGATCATTTTGAGTTATCAAATATTTTCAACATCATTAGGTATTAGTTACTTATCTCTACCTTATTCTATTTAGTAGTTAACATTTATTTTATTATAAATCACGTTAATAATGTAAAACTATATAAAAACAAAAGAGTAAGATTCATTTTGATCATAGTTTCTACTCAATAGATTATGTGTTGAAATTTTATGTTTGTTTACTTTGTAGACAAACAAACAAACACACAAACAAAACAAAACAAAAAAATATAAATATATTATATAATCAATTGATTTCTATGATTGTAAATGTGTTTACCTTATTGATTATCAACAAAACCATATTAAACCTAACCAAATATCAGGAACATAATTTTTTTCTATTTTATCCCAACTTGTTTTCTTGTTTAAATATTGATTAGATATATTGAGAAACATTTTTACCGCATATTCAATAAACAGAATGGTAAAATATTAAGTCTTAAAGTTGTTTGTTAGTTGAAAAATGGTATACACGTATAACTAACGTCTGTATAAATAATGGAATAGTAGACTATCCTAGGAAAGATGGTACCAATGAACTCCATGTTCAGATTTGATTAGCTTACTTGATTGATTCAATAGCCGAAGATTTCTGACTATCTGATATCTGATTTTACAGTTTACAGTTATCATGTTACTAGAAAGAACTTAGACTCTTAGGTAGAGTTATGATTTTGTGTTATAACGGTTGAGTTTCTTTTGTATAAGCGTATGAACGAATGGGACGTTAATTTGCCTTAAATGAATATCTACACTAGATTCGCTTCTAGTGTCTATTCTATAGGACTTCAACACAATTCAGATCAAGAACATGTGATTAGCCTGACCACAAAGTAAATATATTTCCACACCCAAAAACCCGACACAATCCAACAAAAATCAACAATCAATAATAAGTGATAATAAGGATAGGGGAATATATAACTCATCTGAAATTTGTCAGACTATCTACATGTCTGACTAAGCAGACAATCAATCATTATCATTCTTGCCCACACATCACTTTGTAACATCGTATTTAAATCAGCTGTCGTATTCAACACTTGATCTTCATGAATTTTTTTCACAGTTATCATGTCACCAGCGAGAACTTAGACGCTTAGGTAGATTCATGACTTCACAACATTGATCAGCATAAATTGATTAGTTTGCAACTTCATGAGTGAATTTGAAAAAAACTTAAAGTCTGTCCTATGGATATGAAATGTGAACATAGTTTGTCAATATACAAAAATAATCACTGATAGGCTATGCATTCAACAATTATCTAAAAATTATGTTATTGATGTAAACACAAAACTTAACTAGCATCTCCTACAATGTGACTTTATAATCTTATCAAATGAACCGATGAAAACCGTGTCAATATTTTTGTTGCAGGTATTTCATAAAAAGACAGTCAGTCAGCTACAACGTAGGACCAGGCACATATATGCATCGGTCCAATTTGCCATACCTCATTAACACAACATGATGGACACCGGATTCATAAAAGTAGTTAATTAGGGAGGTTGATTATGAATACAATGGTCTTGAGTGCTGTTAGAGGTATGGGGGAGGTTATCACTTGCCGGTTGCCCACACCGTGGAAAGACAGAACTGATTTTATTAAGTTCGTATAAAAGTCATATTATGTTAAGACTATCACAGTGTTGTTTATAAACTACGATGATAATAATTTAGGATTATCTGTTAATAATTATCTACAATTTACTAGTAACCCTGTATAACTCATTTAAACCAGCACATATTTAACCAGATCATAAATGCGCTTAAATTAAACCACTTAAGCTAAACATTGATATTATCTGTCATGAAAAGGTAAACTGAACATAGCAAATGACAGATTTCCAATCATCTCCATTTCAGTAAAACCCAACGGTAAACATCATTCATAAAGTTAATATTATTCAGCAAAAACGATATTATCAAAGACGAAACTTACTTTTGATACTGAACGATAAATCAATATATAAAGTGTAACGACACATAGAATGCATAAAATATAACTGCATGTTTGACTTTTTTGTACAATCTGATATAAAACTGTTTCTATCATTGTATGATTTAATTTTAATATTTCTGTACATTCAAATTTTTCACTTTTATAATATGAACTAAATGAATAATCATATTTGATAGTTGAATTATAATCCATAGTTTTGTTACTATGACGATTATTATTATCATTATTATTGTTTATATTTGTATCGAAATGAACTTGTTCAACTCGAACAGTAAATGTTGAACTAAATCCTAATATAATACATATAAATATCAATATTAAAATGACACGTTTAGCTCGTTCTCTTGTTAAAATATTTTTAAATGGATGACATAAACAAAAATATCTATCAAATGCTATACAACTAATTAATAAACTACTGAATGGTATAAAAGTATTATTTATAAAATAATAAAATTTACATAAAAATGTTGAATCAATATTCCATTCAAGATATTCTATAATCATTGTACCAGGTATTAAGGTAACACATGCTAAAAAATCTGATATAGCTAATATAAGTATAAATAATGTAGCTGTTAAACGATCTTGTTTTAATGAATATACAATAATTACAAGTGTATTACCAAATATTCCAATTAAACATATAATTCCTAACATTATTAATACAGTTGGAATTTGATTTGATAAATCAGCTGTCATTAAAGACATGAATAATGATTGTTATTATTATTATTATTATTGTCGTTACTTTTGTCGTTGTTGTTGTTGTTGTTGTCGTCGATGTTTTCCTTTAAGAATGTGGTTTAGGAAGAGTTCATCATGTTATGTAGTAACATTATACTTTGAAAATCTAAAATGATGAAATAAACAAAAAACAAAAGATTAAAATGAGTAATTGACTTAAATAGTAGAGATATTGATAGGATGAAAAGAAAAGTCAATTTTCGACTGATTTACTCATTATGAGTTTTGTTCAAGATTATTTTTTCCGTTTTGATTCAATGTCATGATTACTCAATGTAGTATTTCCTTTCTTTTCTTGTATGATATTTTATTCTGTATACTATGGGATATTCTTGTATTTCATTGACATGAACTATGCTCAGTCTGTGATTTGTTATAACTGAGTATGTGATTTAATCTTAATTATTAATCAAAATGGGTGTACAGTCAATATATAAATCAGTGTATTTTAGACTATTGTGATTTATTATTATTATGATTATGATTGTCGTTGTCATAGTGTTTCGGGGTTAATGAATCTTCACTTATACTAGTCTTTTTGTTCTTAATTTCGCATTGTGGGAATTGTAGAGGTACCTCGTTTTGAGTATAAGTGATAAGCGTTTTCCCGGCATAGCAATCAGCGACGACAAAATATAACAGATATATTATTAACTCACAAATTGAAAATTATCCGAAGGAGTTTGTAGATATTATAGTGATTTTAATAATTGAAATCATGAGTTAATTGAAGTTAGACCACCATGGAAAAGTTGTCTAGTGCTACCAAGTTATCCATGGAGGTCTATTATTTATTTATTATTTATATAAAAACATAAACATTGATACAAGGAGGCATCAGATTGATATGCGCATCATAAATCATTCAATTTGTATGAGAGCTGAGATACTGCCCCGTGCACAAACCGAAGCAGGTGGTTTACTTAGAAGGCCACACCCCGAGCCTTTGACCAGAAAGTCTAATCCATAAGGTAGTGGAGCAACGTCAGCAGATGCAGTCCCATGGTAGCCTGTGATCAACAATTGGTTCATACGTCATTTGTTTCTTTACAATCATGGAGCCCATGTGCACCATTGGTTTGGAATCGGGGTTTTCCAACTTCTCTAGATGGATCATCCGTATCCATCAACCCGATTAAAGTGCCGGACATTAGCTTTTCGTCCTCTAAATTTCCTAAACAACAACGATACCTCGAGAAGGCAATATGTAGGAGATCCCTGGTAGTGATCATATGCACGTGGCCACTTGAGAGCATCTGGAGTGAGAGATAGCTGATTGTCTCCACTCTCGGTCGTACCAGGGCATTTAGGGGCCTATGATTGTCTAACTTTAATTGACTCATAATCTCAACCATTAAACTTGAATATTCTTTGTAAAATGTCAGAAACAATTATTATCGTAAGTTACATGTTTTACTTCAAGACCATAAACTCTTAAATGAAATTATCTTTTTTTGATTGAAATCATGAATCGATTGATGTTAGACTAATATTGGATACCTGGAAACACTGAACAGTTGTTTCATCCTAATATGGAACTCTTTAGCTGTGGACACTCATGATATCACAAGTGGGATTCAATCACATTAGATATTCAGAGATCTGAGATATATTTCAAGAACAATTATCTAATAAGTTAATTACAACATCTTTTCTTGTGTTTTGTTTGTATGTTCATGTGTTAATGGATGTTATGTATTTTCATATATAAATAGATAGATTACAAAATTTAGATTTAATAATAAAATCTATTCTGTCTAACTATATACCCTTCTTAAACACATCATGATTATTATTATTTTATACAAATATTCGTCAAGATTAGAACGAATAGTTTAACAACAATAATTGAGCACCGAGTATAGAAAAATGATCACAGCCATTGAAATTTAAATAATTCCAACGTTTCGTCCAACAAACTTGTCTTAACTTCTTCAGGATAATGATCAAAATCATTATTATTTCACTTAATTCATTTCTTTTTTACATTTAACTTTATAGCTTTTAAAATAATTTAATAGTATTTAAACAACTTTGTTTGAATAATTGAAAAACACAATGGTCTCTTATTTATAACTTCTATTGTATTTCCTAAGTTTCCAATATATTGGATATAGTTAAGAGATCATTTTATCTACTTCTTTTTTTTGCAGTTATACCATTCATGAATATTGTTGAAATGTTTGCTATCCACTTGAGATTATAGAGGATTATCATTTCTGAGGATAAAGATTATGGAAATGTTATATTTTCCAAAATGGATTGTTTACCTATGAAACTTTTAATATCTTTTTAGACGATATCAATTATGTGCTGTTGATATCGCCTAGAAACATAATGAAAGCTTCAAGATTAAAACATTCACCTCAGTAAATGGTTCTTCTTCTAAATCAAAATGCTAACCTTATGGAAAAATGATTGTGTAAAGTAAAATTTAATTTACTACTTTTTTTCTATGATACACTTAATTCAAGGTATTACGTCAGTCTTATCCACGTTATTGTTACATCTAATAGATATTGTGACGAATAGTTTTACCTTTAAAACACAAACCAATTAGTAACTCAATTTCAGAATGTAAATAAACTTAATGGTGACATCTGTTTACAATCACACAAGGAATAATAATAAAAGACCATAAGTTTATAATAACATTCCATCATTTAATAATAAATGCTAAAGTATTTAGGTAGGTAAAGTGAATGATATATGTTACTAGCCGATCAATGCAAAGTAGAGCTTCTTAATGAATAGTTACATTTTAGATATTATTAATCATTCTATGAGAGTGACACAACTATTTTAATCAAAAAGAACACGAGGACAATCGAATGTATTTGAGCACAAAATTACAGAACATCTCACTAAAATCTGAGAACCATATTGTAGATGGTTAATTTCCAAAGTATCAATCAATTGTCTCAAACATGAATGTTCCTTTGCAACTATCAGTCTATCATCTCAGATTTTATTGTTACTGCATTTTCATACCAATTACTCTTCGTTCCCGGTCTTCCCCTATCGATTTTCCACTGAAATACATTCTATGTCTGACCATCGTTATACACCACTTATGTGAATATAATAAACTCACATCACACTATCACGTAATTCATTAGGAACAATCCCAATTGTCACAAGAAAAGTTTAACAGCATTATTAATGTGTCAGTTATATCCAGCTTACAATATACAATTTATGACTGGAATAATATCGAATGATAGTCATAATTTATTTTGTCAATCAGTCATAATCTATGAATCATCGAAGATATTCATATCGAAAACTTAACGATATATTTTGTTAAATGTGTAGTAATTTAACAAATATGGACCAATGTATTTGGAATTTATAGAAAATTTATGAGAATAAATTACTGTCGAAACTAAAACACTAAATAAAAGATCATCATTTCAAAATTCATACAGAAGTGTGATGTGTGCTACTAATGTCAACAGATATAAGTAGTATATATTATCAATCGGAAGTGAAATATCTGGTGGAAGAAGGTTGATATTAAAGGAAATAGAAGGAGAACAGTGAATGATTACTGTGGAATTGAAGGTTCGTTTTTTTGCATTATTATGATCACTATCCTGTTTGTACAAACACGTACTCTTGATCACATGACATATTTCGCTCTCGCTAAAATGTTGATAGCTTAACTATCGCTTGATGAATCATTCTATTTCCTATGTGTATATAAACGCGAATCCTAATATTAGTATTTGGCTTGTCTAGTTGCTCATTGATTCCGTTTGACTATAAATTCACATCTGTATTCGCTCTCACACACACATTAGCCTCTCTGCTTCAAACTCTCTCAATGTGCTTGTATCCTTGTTATCTGTGCTATCCACTAATAAACTGTAGTTGCCGCTTCTTAGTGCCTTTTGATTTCAAACATTTTTGAGATTTATATAATAACGGTGATTGATTAACGAAGATAAGCCACTAAAATATACTAGCTTTGTTATCATACATTAAAACTGTCCATTCTTGATTGTTCGTATTTTTATTACTGATATACTTCAAACTAGGTAAAAACAAAGTTTGAATAATGCAATATGGCTTTTAAAGTTTGAAAGGATATACGTTTTCATCAATTGTGACGAATGCTGGATGGACTATTTATATGAACTGACAGAGATCTTGGGTTGGTGAATAAATGATGTAATGTTCAACTTGCGTTATATCTATTATAATGACATTAATGTGGGATGTCGGAAAATGTTTAATTCCTTACAGCAGTTTAAAAACAGAATACAGAAAACTTCAGTCTGTGTTAAAAATACATTAGAACATTTCTAGGTTTAAACGTAGCATTCAAGTCTCACTTAGTAAGGGGGAAAACATAACCGGAGTTACATAGACAAAGTCTTAGACGGATACATACTGGCGATAACAAATAAAATTCGGTAAATACCTTTTAAAAATAAAAAAGACTATCCCCTCAGATTCAATAACAGATCATGAAATTAAAGCAATAAATTACACCTACAGTAATCACGTTTACCAGAATATTGAATTTGAATAGAAAATCATAATAAAGGGTTTGGAAACAAGGTTCAAAATATTATGAACAAAGATTAAATAATTTTGAGGTATGTGTTAAGTATTCCAGCTATAATCTTATCAGTAAAATTATATCTGAATCATTTAAAAGTCTTATCTTTTCTTCGTCTAATTTATAGAATTTATCGGAGAGACTATAACTTATGGACGATCTTTGAACGAATCTTATGTGACCTTGAGAAATATTAGCCAAATTGCAAACAGTATAGAGTAAAAATATTTTATACAGAACCAAAGAAATAAAGTGGATACACTTCTTTTACATGGTTTAAAAACTTGTCAAGGTTAGTAAGAGGTTCAGAGATTCTAAAATCCTAATGAATACAGTAGAGGAAATCATTTATATGGCTCTATAATAGGTGGTCTCTGGAGCCATGATAAAGTCGCAAAAACTCTTTCAGCCTCGACCGCATGGCTTCAATATCTCTTGTGTACACTCCAGTTGTTTGGTCCACAAAATTCCACTTATGGACAACGAAACGATGCATATCAACAAGTTCATATAGCCATCTGTATGCTCTCCAACCATCCGTATATATTGTAGTGTCCGGTAGCAGCCAGTGATATTGGTGCCTTTAGTATCCAGAACGCAACAACTGTCATAATTTGCCTTAGTCTCAATCAAGATCGGGCGAAAAGATTCTATTCTAGTA